ACCCGGGGCTCTGCCGTGTGACTGGCGTGGGGGCATGTAGAGGTAGCAAGAGGAAACTGGGCTGCCCCCAGAATTTCCTTTCCTAGAGAGTGGCAAGATGGAACTCAGGCAGGAAAATAAATTCCAGGGACAGCAGCATGGATCTGGAAAGAGAGAACGGGCAGACTTCTACCCAGCGGGAAGGGAAAAGCTCCCCAAACACAACAGCGAACAGCACGGCTGAGGAGCTAGGACCATGGAGGGGACAGGCAGCTCTATGTTAAGCAACCCCAGAAAGGGAAATTCAGACACGTCCCCCCTCTGCATAGCACTGGACACCTTCTTAAGTACTTTTCCCACATGGCCATTATGGCAACTGGTGGGGAACGGCATATATGGAGAAACTGAGGCATAGAGACTCACAGCAAAGAGCTAATTAGAGCTGCATTGGGAGGCGGCTGAGAGTAGTCTGAGGAGCATGTGCTTGGAGGGAGAGTGAGTGCCCTGGGTTCAGATCCAAACTCCACCATTTACTGGCTGTGAGTGTTTGCTCATCCATACAATGGGAATAACATCAGTTAGCTGGTGGGGCTCTGGTGGGGTAGAGTGGGGCAGTGTAAACATGCTGCCTGGCACAGGGCAAGTGTTCAAGAAGTCATAGTGCTTAGCCACCCCCAAGTTCAGTCTTCTTTCCATCCTGGCATGCTTTCTGCTATAAATAAGTAGAAGGAAGGAAGGAAGGAAGGAAGGAAGGAAGGAAGGAAGGAAGGAAGGAAGGAAGGAAGGAGGGAGGGAGGGAGGGAGGGAGGGAACTCTTCCCTGTACCTAACACTCACTGTAGCTCAAACCAGAGAGACACCTCTTAGGTACACTTTAAGTTAGGGCTTACTTTTAAAACGTTTTATTCACATCAACTCCTCAGGAGCCAACCCTTTACGGGCTGTATGCCTTCTACTTCATCCAAACCACTGCTTTTCACAAATGAACAAATGAGAACAAACCAGCTGTCCCCATTCTCCTGCAGGTGAATCTGAGGCCCAGCAGGACAAACAGAAAGGAAGGCCCATGACCCAGCCAATGGGTGAACTGCATTGGCCCCAGCCCTGCCCTTTGCCCCCAGAGCTGTAAGAGTAAGGGTGCCAGGCTCATGTCACCTCCGCCACTTCCTCAGCCCCCGCCCCACCCCATCTCCATTCTGAGGGTTTCAAGAGCAGAGATCCAATCAGCTTCAGGCTAGTCGGGCAGGCTGGCTGGGGGGTGGAGGGGGGATGGTTTCCGGGGCCTGTGGTTACTACACTCCACTTCCTTGTGATGACATAAGCCCTATTTCTGCAGTAGGAGGCCACCGCTAAGATTCTCAGGTCTCCAGGCACAGGAGGTCCTGTCTGGGCCTCGGTTTCCCAGATCTATAAACAGGCAGCATGGGGCACCGTTGGCATTGATCGGCCCTGGCTGGCCTTGGGCTGCCAGAGCAGAGGATGGGACTCTGAAGGCACCCCACATCCCACCCTCACGCAGTTTTTTCTGTCTTCTCTGGTCTCTTCGTCCCAAGCCACCAGTTCTTTTGATTCAAAATTTAGACAGACATTGACCAAGATTTCAGAGTAGCTGGAAGCTCTGGAAATAACTAAAGCTGGAGAACCCAAAGCAGCGAGGACCGGGATACTCTGATCTAACACTGTCCCCCAGTTCCCTGGCTGGTGTCCCTCCAGCCCCTTCCAGCCCCTGCTCCACCCTGCAGCGTCCACGGATGGATGTGGGATCTGTAGAGGGACCTCCCCACCCCAGCCGAGGAAGAGAAGCTTAAGGAAACCAGGCAAAGATAAGGGGGGTGGGGGGGTGGGGGGGGTTGGGGGAGTTAGGACCCACGGAGGGCTCCTCTCATGGTGGGGTCTCAGAACTGGGGGCTTGAAAGGGTCTTGGCTTCCTTCCGCAATTTCAACTTCGCCAACTTGCATTTCTTAACAGCTACTCCTTCCCCTCCGCCCCCCATTAGTTGGGGCTGGGCCTGTGTTGCAGCCTGGGACAGGGCACAGCTCAGCCTCACCTCTCTCAAGCATCCCTCCCCTCACCCCCACCCATGCCCAGGTAGAGAGAGGCTGGTTCTAGGCCATCCTTGGGCCCAGGGAGCTGAGTCCCTATCTACAGGGGATTAATGGATAAAGGGATCACAGGGCAGGCTGGAGAGGGGCTGGCCTAGGAATCTCCATGCAAAGGCGACTAGCCGATGTTCAGGGGCAGATGGGCCAGGCTCCAGGGAGGCCTGGGGTAGGGTTTTTAGGGTCTGTTCACACCTAGACCTTCTCCCTTTATCCCACAGCCCCAGGTTCTGAAAGTTTCCTCTGGCTCTCCCCCAGCCCGGCCTGCCTTGTGGAGATTTGCAGACAGCCAGCTTTGATCCTCTTCCCAAGGAGATTATAGGGCCAAGAGCCCTGGGCCTGGCACTTCTCACCTAGTCTAACAGTCCCTGCCAGGACGTCCCCCCTTACACAGGCATGCACGTGTACGCGTGCGCACACGCACACACACACGCACACACACACACACCAAACTAAGTCTGTCTCATTCGGTGTGGCCTCCCTGTCCCGAGAGGTGGACCCAGGGCTCGCCATGTTATTCTCATGGGAACTCAGACAGCACTTCAGTTAGATACAAGAAAGGACTTCCAGGAAGTCAGACAGCTGAACCTGACACCGGGTTGGGCCCTGGCAATTCCAAAGCTTTGGCCTTTCCCCACAATGCCCTACTCCAATATTCTACTCCAGCCTGCCACCCAGTCCTTGAGGTGGGACAAGTGACTTCTGGAGGTTGGGATGGGGGGTCGATGGGGATCCAAAAGCACGGGTCTCCCCTACAGCTCCTCAGCGACACCATCTGCTTGCTGTCCCAGCCCCGGCCCTAGTCTGGTCCTATCCTCAGCTCTTTGATTAGAAACTGGGTTTTGTCCAGGCATTGTCTGCCTTCCACGGCCGGCTGCCCATTGAGGTCTGGCGTGTGCCAAGCTGGGCACTCATGCTGGAATGGGAGGGGACAAGTGGGCTGGGCCCTCACCTTCCAGAAGCCCCCTAAAGCCTGGCTCTTCTGATGTTCAAATCTCCCCACCCCTCCATCTGAGATCAGCAACTGGAGGCAAGGAGTGGGGGCATCTGGACACTACTAAAGCAATCTGAGTGGGAAGCAGGGATGATACCCATCACCCCCAAAGAACTGGGTACAATGGGCAGGCACAATCCCTTCTCTGGAAAGGGTCTCAGAAACCTTTTGGTGGTGCTGAGAAGGCCACACCAGCTTTTCCTCACTCCTCTGCATAAAGTGCCAGTCCCATGGGGCTTTGCCACACTTTACCATGCCCCAGTCTAGTCTGGGGAGGCTGACGGTGGCGGTAGTAGAGGGGGGCTTTGTTTGGCTCTCTCCTGTAAGATGGAGTCTAAAGGAAAGCCCCCATGGGAGGAGCAAGCACCCTAAGTCCCTTCCTTCCCAGCCCTGGTTCACAGTGAGTGGGGCCAGGGCTTCATTTCCCTTTTATGATGTACTTGGACTCTCCCAGTCTGCTGCAGATGTCATATTTACATTTCTCACTGCCCCCCCCCCACACTTGTACCTCCCTCCCTCGACCTCAACAGAATCCTGCTGCAGTGTCAGCCCAAGCAGCAGCCTGGCCCCGCCCCGGCCAGCCCACCAGGCACCTGCAGGGCTCCTCTTTGTCTCTCAGGCTGCTCTGGACCAGCAAGGCTGTGTTCAAGTGATGCTGAGGCCGCGTGATGCATGGGTGGGAGGCACTTCAATCTCCCTTTCCTGACCCCAGAGCTGTGATCAGCCGTCCCCTCCTCCTCTCTGGGCTGCAGAGGACTGGCCAGATGCCTCGGGGTGGGCATCTGCCCTGGGGCAGGAGGGGGAAGCTTTGCCCTAGTCATCTCTGGCCCTGTCTAGAGTGACTTCCATGGACTCTTGGAATCTGGGTCACCTACAACCCAGGGAATCTAGAGACCTGTCTCAGAGACCCACCCTAGCCCTGGACCCAATACTCCCACCCCCATCATACAGGGCTGGGGCAGAGATGGTTGTATTTCTCCACGATCCCTGCCTTGGTGACCAGTCTCAGATTGGCCCTCTCCCATCAACAGACCCCTCTTAAAGAGAAAACCCTAAACAAAAACAAGGAGAGGTGGGGTGGTGTAAAGCCTCTCTGCCCAACACAAAGGACATATATGGCTCAACTTTGCATGATTTCCTGCTTCGCACCTCTGTGTACCCCTCCCAATAGGAGCCCCCCCAGCCATGTCCTCTCCCCATCTCAATTCTGTCAGGATGTCACCGCAAGTCCCAGATAAGTCCATGCACCACCCTACCTCCATCTTATCTGAGAGCCTGAAGATGGGGTATCAGCGTCACACCCTCCTGCCCTCTCAGAGGTAGAACCTCAGATACACCGCTTCCTCCCTGCCCTAGCCCCATCTCCTCTTGGGACAGGGCCAGCACGGTTCTCTCCAAAAGCCCTTGACTCCCCACGGAAGGCCGAGGCACCGTCCCAGCCCTTCCATTCGTCCCTGCACTCAATCAATCGATCTTTGTCTGCGGAACCGGTTCCCGCCCTCCTAGCTGGACCAAGAGCACAGAACTAGCCGACTGGGGTGGATGAAGGGAAAATTCCCGCCCCCCCCCAATATCCCAGTATGAGACAGCAGCCCCAAGGGGAGGCGAAGAGGAAACACACAGACGCTCCGGCCTGGGCCAGGGCTGGGTGTGAAATACCGGATTTCCTTGTTTATTCGATTTTCTGATCATTAAGGGCTCCCAAGAGGGGCCCGAAATTACCACCCAAACAAAGCCACCTTCCAGCAGCCCGCCGGCCGCCGATCTCCTGCGGCAGCCGGTCCAGAGCTCTGCGCCCTCCTGCCTGGCCCATGCCAGCCCCTCCTCCCGGGGTGCGGGCTCCGGAGTGCGCCCGCCGGCCCCACGCCCACGCAAGACAAAGCCAGAGCCCCTCCGCGCACGCCCCCCGCCCCGCCGCCGGTCCCTACCTGACGGCCACCTTGACGCAGCAGTCCCCCTGGCCGGCCATGGTCCTCCGGCTCTAGGGTCTGGGCGTGGATCAGGGGCGGGGGTCTGGGGGCCGATGCCCCAGGCAGCGGCAGCAGCTGCGGCTGCGGGAGGCGGGGGCGCGGGTACTGCTGGCGAAGTCTGCCGCGGCGGCTGAAGGTGACATGCTCGCGGGCGGCAAGCCGAGGGGCTCACCCGCGGCCGGGGGAGGCCCCACGGGGCTGCGCCCGCGCGCCTCCTCGCGCCATCGGGCGGCGGCGCGCAGCTAGCTGACAGCCCGCGGCGCGACCCGCCGCTCCCCACGGCGCGGCACACGCGCGCACACACCTCCCACCCTCGCAGCCACCTCCCGCCGCAGCGCGAACAAAGGGGGCGGGAGCCGACCCGGCCCAGGACCCGCCCCCCAGCCCCGCCGGGCCCGCGCCGGGCCCCGCCCCGCTCCGGATTCACCAATCGAAGGTCCGAGGCAGCAGCAGGGGCGGGACTTGAGCCTTTAAAGGGACCTCTTGGCTCGCGTCCACCCGCTCGCTAGGGGGCCGGCGGGATTGGAGGATCGCGGAGGAGGAGGGCCCCGAAGCTGACCACGCCGGAGTCTCTGTCCCCCGGAGTCGCAGAACCTCAGCCTCGATGGGACCTCCGTTTCATAAAGAGGACACTGGGACGCAGAGAGGGGAACTCCCCAGGGTCACACAGATTTGGTGGCTAAGCAAGGGGTAAGAGCCCAGGTCTCCCCCGGGCGGAGTGCCTCACTTCAAAGCATCGCACAGCGATTAGCGGTTTATATTTTGAAAGCGCCCTGAAAGCTACCCTTCTGATTTGTAACAGTGAATTTGTCAACCTTTATTGAAGGAGATTCTTGCTGGTGACCAACAAAAATTCCCTCCACCTCCACCCTGCAACATTTTAAAATTCATCTTTTGGTTGGTTCCTGGCTAGGCTCCCCGCCCCGATGGGCCCCTCCCTCTGCTACCCCAAGGCGGTTCCACTGACCTTTATGACCCACAGATGACCCTTTTGGGCCTGGCTCACACTCTGTCGTGGCCGTGGCCGTAGGGGCAGAAGGTCAGTGTTGGTGGCCTGAGCTGCTCCGGGAGACAAGGGAACAAAGGGGGCACTCAACTCCAGGCACCTGAGTAGAGGCTGGAGGGGCCAGATGGGTGGGGAAGGGGACAGAGCAGTGCAGCTGCCTTTACATGGATATAAAGGACAAGGGGGGGCCCTGGAGCCTTTAAGCACAGGGCAGAGTTGGAGAAGAACAGTGCTCTGAGAAGTTGCAATTCCCTTTTCACTCCACCTACCCTCTCTCTGAGCCCAGACACCTTCTCCCTGCCCCCCCAACTCCCAACATTGGGGCCATTCACAGGGCCCTCACCAGCTGCCCTCCCTTCCCACACTTCAACCAGCTCCCTCCCCTGGAAAGGGCCCAAGGGGAGGACCCAGCTGCAGCTCCAGATGTGGATCATGCTCTGGGGGTGGGGGGCGGGAAGGGGAGTCAGACTCCAAGCCTCTTGCATCACCCTCCAGTGATGATGAAACTATGTCAGAGATTTTGGCAAGGGTGTGGGTTAGGGTCTGAGGATGTATCCGTTGGTGCCATCCTCCTTTCCCTCCCCTACTCCCCCACACAGATAACTGCTCCATCCAAAGTCAAACCAAAACAATGATAACTTCAAGCGCAAATTTCAAGGGCAAATCAACACCCGTCTCCCCAACCTGATGGAAAACAGGGCACCACCAGCAGTGCCCCAAGGGTGGAGGAGGAGAGGGAGGAGACTCTGGTGGGATCCTGCACCTTTTATTAGCATTTGAACCTAGAGGAAGCTCTTTCTGGGGCCAGTATGTCACCCCTCCCAGAGCAGCAGGCCCGCAGAGTGTTGAGTCAGGTGCTGGACAGTCTCTCCCCAACTTCCAACCAAAAATAAGAGGTGGGGAGGTAGTTAACATTTATGGACCATCTATGAGAACCAGATACTTTATATGCATGTTCTCATTTCATTCTCCTAACCTCGTGAGCTGGGCTTTATTATTATTTTTCAATTTTGCGGGGCGGGGGGGTGATAAGTCTCACCCCTCATGTAAGCAACAGACCCAGGATTTGAACTCCTGTGTCTTGTTCCAGATTTCCCAGATCACCTCCAGGCAACTGCCCAGAGGGAGGGAAGCTGGGCTGACCCAGGGTTTTGCTCCAGGTGTAGCCCTCCTGGATGATAGTGCTGCATTTTGCAAAGCTGCGGTCCCGCCCACCAGCCCCTGGACTTCTCTGGGGCTCATCTCTGGTTTCCTGCCTCTAGGAGGTCCCCTCTGACTTCCAAGAGTAGGTGACCCTTCTGACTCACAGCTTCACTGCTGGGAAATGGCGCCAGAGGGGCTGCACCAACTACCCCTCCCCCACACCCATTCCTCCAGACTAAAGGATGTCCAGCCTGAAGAAGCAGGGAGGCGCACGGGGCTGGCAACTCGGGCCACCTCAGCAGCTCCTTCCTGGACCTCCAGGGCAGTAAGATGTCCAGACCCAGCCTCCTGGGCACTGCTGCCCAGAGGTGAGGAGGCAAACTGGGCACAGAGGTCAGAGGCGAATCCAAGTGGCAGGAAGAGGCTTAAACTGTAACTTGGAGAGATTGAGGTTAGATGGGTGATGGGAGGGCGGGGTCAATCCCTGCCCTCCTCAGTCTCCCTGCAGCTTCAGCTCAGCCTCTGCTTCCTCTCTCTGGTTTGTTCCCACCCCCACCCTTTCCCACTGCTTCTCCCTCCTCCCAGCTGCTCTTCTTTCCTTCCCTAACCGTGAAGTTTCTCAGGGAGCTGCCTATACACATATCTCCCCCAACCCCCACCCCTTCCCTCTCTGCCTGACAGAAACAGGTAAACACACATACACACTCTCCCGGGTTTGGCCCCGAGTCCCCTGTTTGGACCGGGGTTTGAGCCCCAGTTCTTGTCCTGTGCTGAGGCCTTTCTTCACCAGGCGTCTAGGGGCCTCCATCATTTCTCTTGACAGGAGCAGTGGGTGTCTGGGCAGATGGGAATGTGGGGGAGCTGAGGAGGACCCTCTCCGAGGCAGGAAGCTCCCACTCTTGTAGTTAAAATACTCCAGCAGCAACTTGAGGAAGCCATCTGGCCCAGATCTCTCAGGCACCGCCTAGCTCTCAACAGCAACCCTACAGTAACAAACCAATATACCTAAGAGATACCCTTAGGCTCTAGAAATGTCTCCAGAGGTGGCCTGAACTTGAGTCCTGTTCCCTTTTATCTTCTTTAGGATTAGCACTAGGCATTGACATTTGCAGAAACTAGCTGAGCATTGTCCTAAATTTCTGGGGGTGGAAAGTATAGAGTTCTGGACCTCCAGTCCTAAGTGCCGGCCCCACCCCAGCGGCTGTGCTTGGTTCCATGGGAGAATGGGCACGAGCCCATCCTGCCAGTCCAGCCATGCCCTCCAGTGCCCACCTGAAGAGGGAGCTCAGCTCCGCCACCAACAGGTGCTCAGAGCCCCAGAGAGGGTCTACTGGGGGTGCAGATTCAGAGGTCTTAGCTCAGGCTCGGGCTTATCCTAACTTCCCCTGTTACAGAAGGAGACAGACTTAGTCTTAGAGGAAACGAGAATTTGTTATAAATAGAAGGGAGAGAGAGAACCGCTGTGGATTATAAACACCCTGTCAGTCCTAAAAAACCCCAACTATTTTTGGTTTCAAATGTTAATGACAGTTTAATTAATACTCCATATAACCTCAGACATGGGCTCTTCACCTGCTTTCGACTTTGCCATGCTGCCCATGAGGGCCAAAGGCAGAAGGAGCAGGTGTGGGCAAATTCTCAATGTCACAGAATGCTAGGGTTGAAAAGAACCCAAAGATCATCTAGTTTTACAGCTTTGTTTTCAGGTGAAGAGACCAAGGCCCAGACAGGTAAAGAGACTTGTCCACAGTTGTACGATAAGCTGGTGAGCAGGGACTATGGGACTAAACGCATGGTCCCATAGTCCCAGAGCAGGGCAGCTCCCCCAACAGCATGGAAGGACCCAGAGGCCATATGTGAGTTTATGGTTTGGATAAAAGCGAAGCCTGTACAAAATAACAGATAGCTTGGAAGCCCAAGTGTGGCGCTCCGAGTCAGAGATCTGGGTTCAGATTCCAGCTCTGCCACTCGCTAGCTATGTAACCCTTGGTGAGTTACGGAGCTACTGCAAACATCCATTCCCTCACCTCAAAATGAGGATAATCACCCTCGCCTCATCGCAGGACTATGATGAGGTTGAGATAAGGTAACCTGGATCAAGCACCCAGTACTATGCTCCGCACAAAATGGATAGTAATTTCCTTCACGTTGCCGTTGCCCATGGATTCTCTACCCCTTCTTCAGTGGGCCTCTGTCTTCCAAGTGGACATAAAGAAGTTTTTTGCAGGACAGGGAGTCTCCAAGATGAGTGTGGATGAGCCTGGTGCAGACAAGGTGATGAGGTTTGGCCGGCCCGGGTGCTCCTTGTTGATCCAGGGAGGTGGGAGAGTTACTCAGCCTCTGCTGGCCACTCAGTGGGGCAGCCCGGGGAAGGGGGCCAGGGGAAGTGTTTGCAGAACGCAGGAAGGAGCCTGGCATGCTGGATCCCTTCTGTACACAAACAGTCCTGGTCTTAGCCTCACTGGAGGTTAGCTGGAGGGCATCTCAGCTTCATGTTACTCACGGCATGTGCTACACTGTGCCAAGGATGTTACATAAGATTTCTCATTTAATCCTCACAACAATCTCCGAGGTAAATACTGTTATTGTCCCCATTTTGCACAAGAGGAAATGGGCTCAGAGGTCACTTGGCCAGTGCAATAGTCATTAGTGCTGTGCACCAAATATTTCCGGCCCCCTGCTGTCACAAGGCAGGACTGCATGTCCTCTGTGTTAGCTATGGCCATGTGACTGACTTTGACCAGTGACGTGTGGGCCAAACTGACACGTATCACTTTTAGGTGGAAGCTTTAGGAGCTCCCGGTGCCCTCACACCACTTCGTGTTTTGTATGGAGTTTAAGTGAGAAATAAACTTTTATTGTGTTAAGCCCCTGAAATTACAGGCTTATATGTTACCTTGGCATAGCCTAGCCTAAAGTCAGTAAAGGGGCAGAGCCAGAATTCAGAGCCTTGGTCCATAAAGATCCCAAAGGGCCCCAGTACCTTTTAGGACTCCATGTGCATGTCTAGAACCCACAGAAGCCCTGTGGGGCCGTAGAAAGGGGCAGGCAGCCTCTCTGCCTCCGCTTATCTCTACTCCCGATGATTTGACTAACCTTTTGCCGTGTCTCCAGATTGCTGGGTCCCAAGTGAGCGTGGTTCCATATTAACCGTTTGGGGGCTTGGGGGTCTCCTGGCA